CTTTTTTCTTTATGCATTTCTAAAAACAAAGAGTTTAATTATGTGTGTGTACAAAATTTTAAGTTTTTCCCACCACACTAGATTGAATATATATAAGTATATAAATATGTTTATGACTGTTAGTACATATTGCCAACATATTCTTTTATTAGGAAATTATTGATTGGATCATTGGTATGCTGATTTTTTAAAAATAGGTTTTATTTATTTTCAGAGAGAGAGGGAGGCAGAGATAAAGAGAGGGAGAAAAACATCGATCAGTTCCCTCTCACACACCCCCAACTGGGGCAATCCAAGCATGTGCCTTCACCGGAAACTGAACTCACAGCCTTTCAGTTCGCAGGTGGGTGCTCAATCCACTTAGCCACACCAGCTGGACAGTGGGCTGATTTTTAAAAATGTGATTTCTCTTGCTATCCACAGCATGATGAAGTAACACCAAATGAAATAAACACCCTTAAGGGAAGCAGTGAACTAACCACAGATCACAAAAGGGAATTACCCAAAAGGTATTGAATTCATATACTTCATCGATATTCAATTCAATGTAGACACCTTTGAGCACTAATTATGTACTTATCTCATTTAATTTTCAGTCTTTTTATGAGAATGTATTATCATGATCACAATGCCATTTTACAGAAGAGATCTAGGATTACATAGATCTCTTAATCTCCTAGAAAAATTCTTAATCTCAAGAGTCTTCAGAACTCTGAAGTTCTGTATTCAATTATATTAAGTTTAGTAAACCACTGCTTCATAGTCCTGTGACTTCTAGATATTCTACCACTTAAGCTTGAGTTCCATATTTTAGATCTTTTGGGTCTCTATGTGTAACATTCTTATAAATTTACTTGTTATGCATTTTGAGATAAGGAACTGGTAAGGAGAGGAAGAAAAATAGAATGTAAGAGATGAGACCATGAAGATATTCTTAAGGGATGGATAGAAGAGAGAACAGTTATCCTAAGTGACGTTGTAAGAGACGGGTAGGAAATAGAAATAAAAAATGACTCCCAATGACTTGATTAGGAAAGATATAAGATATATTCTTTCTTTAAGAAATGGTTGTCCTGCAAAGCACAGAAGCCATAAAAGAAAAAATTGGTAGATATGACTACAAAAAGTATTTTAAAGTTGTACATGGCAATGAGAGTACTATAAACCAAGCCAAAAGAAAAATATACACTGGGAAAAACATTTGAAAAAGGCTAGTTTCTTGAATATACAAAGAGGGTTTCCAAATCTGGGGAAATCTGTCCAATCCAATAGTAACAAATAGACAAGGAATATTAATAGATACCTTCAGTAGGTGTCTGCCTAGAGCCTTTTCTTTGTGAAACCACCAGAGGGTGATGTACAAACACAGATAAAATGTGCTTTGAACTTTTGAGGCATTTAATTTTGTTGGCCTGCTACTAGTATTGAACACTAGGTGGTGAACTAGTTATTGAGTACTTGTTAAATAGAAGACTTGGGAGCTCAGCAGTTCACAATAATTCATTTAAATCTCACAACCTTGTAAGATAGATAAATACTGTTAGCCCCATTTTGCAATTGAGGAAACAAGTTAGAGAGCTAAATAATTCACCCAGTGTTTTTAAGTAGTGAAGCTGAATTTAAAACCAAGGCTAGCTAGCTGATTCAGAGTTCAAACTCTTAATCACTATGCTGTTTCCCATCCCAATATGTTCCCAAAATCTACAGAAAGTTGCATGGATTTTGGTTTATTTTTCTTGTTTTTAATTACAGTAATTTTATTATTATAAATATAATGAGTACAATTTGTCAAAATAGAAAATACAAAAAAGAATAAAGAAAATTTAAATTACTGTAAACAACCCCACCATTCAGAGATAATTACCATCAACATGAGTATATTTCTTGCTAGTTTTATACAAATACACGTATTAAATAGAGTTTATATTGACTGCATATATAGTCTGTCTCTTGATTTTCCATTTAGTGTTGTATGGGTAGTTCCTCATTTTGAAAAACCTTATTTGGTATTATGATTTGTAATGGTTATATATGGTATTTTGGAGATTATTATGCTAACAAAAATAAACCAGTCAGAGAAAGACAAATATTATATGATCTGACTTATATGTGGATTCTTTTTTTTAATATGTGGATTCTAATGAGCAAGATAAACTGATGAACAAAATAGAACCAGAGGCATGGATACATGAAACAGACTGACAGACCTTAGAAGGGAGGGAGGTAGGCAGTGGGGCTGGGTAGAAGGAGGTGAAAAGATTAGCTGAGGAACATATATATGAACGTACAAACAGTGTGGTGAAGGCTGGGGTGGGTGGGTGCTGGGTGGAGGTGGGCAAAGGGTCAGGGGATTTGGGAGACATCTGTAATAGTGCCAATAATAAAAAAAGTTTAAAATTATATACAAGTTTTTGCCCTTATGGCACCTTCATCAAAATATTTAAAAAAGAAATCTCTACTTTTAAAGATAATTTTCATTATGTAATTTACAGTATAATGAGATATCAATGTTTTTAAAGGCCATGATGCCTACTGTTAGTTGATTCCCACAAAAGTACAAATGTAAATTACCATCAGTGTTGGTCTCACTACATCCTCATCATTATATTGTCTTAATAAACCTCGTGCTAATTTAATAGATGAAAATGACGTCTTGTTTTAATTTGCGTTTTACTTTGATTACTAATAGGTTTGGACTTTTTTGAATTTATTAGAATTTTATATTTCTTTTTTTGTGACAATTTTGATTCCTATTCTTTCTCCATTTTCTATTGGGGGAATCTTACTGTTTTTCTTATCAACTTATCTGACATCTTTGTATAATAACCATATTATACTTTTGTCAGTTTGTCACATTATATCTCAGTTTGTTGTCTGGTTTATACTTCTTCAGAAATACAAGTTTTACATTTTTACATCATTAAACTAATCACTTCTCCATTATAATTTCTGTTATTGCCTTTACCTTAAGAAAAGTCCTTTCCCATTCAGAGATCAAATAGGTTTTTAACTATGTAGATATTTATTTTGGTATAAAATAATAGGTGAAGATCTAAATTTATTTTTGTTTTGCAAATAAGAAATTTCCACCAGTTTTTTGAAAACTAAATCTGTTTCAACTGATGTGTGATTTCCCTTTCTCATATGTTGTTTTTATGTATATGGAGATTTATATACCTAAAAGAATGTTTCATTCCACTAATCTGTGAATCTGTTTTTATATCAATACAATATTTTTTTAAGTTAGATAATTTTATTTCAGTATTTTAATACATTAAAGATAAGTTCCAAACTCCCTTTTCTTAGCTCTTCATACCTATTTGATATTTTTCTATTTTCAAATTTTAATTACTTTTAATAGGTAACATATGCACGTGGTTCAAAATTCAAGATATACGATGGAGGATACTATGAAAGTATACTGGCCTCTAGCAAGCCACTTTCCTCCTGAAGGCAATCTATATTATCAGTTTCTTATATGCATATACTAGCAAATTTATATAAATATTCTTTAATTTCTCCTTCTTTGCACAAAAGTAATACACTGTATTTCATTCATTTGTGATGCAACAGTGCCACTGTGTTTTAATTCCTTATAATATGATTTAATATCTAGAACTAGTTCCTCCTCCTTACACTTTTTCCAGTTTTCTTAACTATTTCTTCTGAACTTGTCCATTTGATTTTTACAACCACTTTGTTCATATTTTTAAAAAAATACCTGTTGTTAATTTTTAGTGACATTAACAAAACTTTTTATGATTCTTTTTAAAATATATTTTATTGATTATGCCATTACAGTTGTCCCATTTCCCCCATTCATTCCCCTCCCCCGCATACCCCTACTCCCACATAACCCCCTTTAGTTCATGTCCATGTGTCATAAGTTCTTTAGCTTCTACATTTCCCACACTACTCTTGCACTCCCCCTGTCTATTTTCTCCCCTCCGTGTATGCTACTTATTCTCTGTACCTTCCCCCCCTTCTCCTCCTCCCACTCCCCCATTGCTAACCCTCCATGTGATCTCCATTTCTGTGGCTCTGCTCCTGATCTAGCTGTCTGTTTAGTTTGCTTTTGTTTTAGGTGTGGTTGTTAATAACTGTGAGTTTGCTGTTCTTTCGCTGTTCATATTTTTAACTCCTTTTTCTTAGATAAGTCCCTTTAACATTTCATATAATAAGGGCTTGGTGATGATGAACTCCTTGAACTTGACCTTATCTGAGAAGCACTTTATCTGCCCTTCCATTCTAAATGAAAGCTTTGCTGGATAGAGCAATCTTGGATGTAGGTCTTTGGATTTCATGACTTGGAATATTCTTTCCAGCCCCTTCTTGCCTGTAAGATCTCTTTTGACAGATCAGCTGACAGTCTGATGGGAACTCCTTTGTAGGTGACTGTCCCCTTATCTCTTGCTGCTTCTAGAATTCTCTTCTTCATTTTCATCTTGGCTAATATAATGATGATGTGCCTTGGTGTGTTCCTCCTTGGGTCCAACTTCTTTGGGACTCTCTGAGCTTCCTTGACTTCCTGGAAGTCTATTTCCTTCGCCAGAATGGGGAAGTACTCCTTTATTATTTGTTCAAATAACTTTCCACTTGTTGCTCTTCTTCTTCCCCTTCTGGTACCCCTATAATTTGGATGTTGGAATGTTTAAAGATGTGCTGGGGGTTTCTAAGCTTCTCCTCATTTTTTGAATTCTTGTTTCTTCATTCTTTTCTGTTTGTTTGTTTCTTCCTTCTGGTCCACTCCATTGATTTGAGTCCCAGTTTTCTTTCCATCATTATTGGTTCCCTGTTCATTTTCCTTCATTTCACTTAGTGTAGCCTTCATTTTTTCATCTAATTTGAGACCATAATCAACCAGTTCTGTGAGCATCCTGATCACTAGTGTTTTGAACTGTGCATCTGATAGGTTGGCTATCTGTTGGTCACTTAGAAGTATTGACTCTGGGGCTTTGAGCTGTTCCTCTGTTTGAGCCAAAATGTTTTAGTCTGTTCGTGCCTGTTACTGTTTGAGGGATGGAACCTTAGGTGTTCACCAGGATGAGTCAACCCACATCACTGGGTTGTGATTGCTATATGTGGGGGCGGGATCAGAGAGGGAGCAATGGCACTTGTTTCACTTTCTCTCAGACTTTGGTCCCCTCTGCTGCTTCCCACAAGTATATTGGGCCCCTTTGGTGCTCGTTCCCAGATGGGTGGGCTTGTGTACGTTCTAGGACCCTGTGGGTCTCTCCAACGAACTCTCCTGTGAGTCTGGGAGCCTCTCCCGGCACCTCAACTCCCCAAAATTTTTTCAGTGGGTGCTTTTAGGCTTTATTTCCCATCTCTGGGGCCCTGGGTTGGGAGGTCTGTCTCACTGCCCTTTTTTTTTTTTTGCCTGGTTTATCTGCGGGTGAATGTGTGCCACAGTCAGCCAACAGCCTTGCACGCCTCACTGGGTTTGCTCATTTCCTCCCTGCACCCAGTTCTGCCAACCACCACTTTTTCCTGCCCGGACCCCTCTCTGCCGGCAGTGGACTTTGCCCCTCTTACCGATCTGGATGAATGGTTCATTGTTGTCGGACTTTGGTACAGTTCAGTTTTCTGTCTGTTCTGGTTGTGTTTTTGTTTCTAATCTTTGTTGTCCTTAAATTTGGTTGTGCAAGGAGGTACAGTGTATCCACCTACACCTCCATCTTGGCCAGTTGTTTAATTGACATTAACAAAATTTTATAGATTAATTTAGGGATAATATCTTTGAGGCCAAATCTTTCTATCTGAGAAAAGTAGTTCTCTTTTCTTCCATTTATTCATATTTTCTTTCGTGTCTCCTAAGGAACATTTTCATATATTCTGTATATAAGTCTTGTACATCTTTTAAGATTATTCCTAGGTATGTTTTTCATTCTATTGCAAATTTAGTCTTGCCTCCTATTAGAACTTTTAACATGTTGTTCAGATGAATTTTAGAATTATTTTTTATCTTAAGCTCTAAAATTTCTTTCAGACTTTATTGAGAATTGTGTTAAACTTCAATTTCAGAAGAATTGCTGTCTTTATAATTTTTAATAATCTTACCCAGTAGAATGCTTTTGGTTTTCCTTTATTTTTGTCTTCTATATCTCAGCAAAGTTTTTTTATTTTTCTACATATGAGATCATAAATTTGTTGTTATCGTTGTTCCTAAATTTTAATGTATTTTATTGCTATTGTAGATTTCTTCCACTTTATTTTGTATTAGTTATTGTTGTTATGCAGGAAAGTTATTGATTTGGATGTATTTGTTTTATATTGACCCACTTGGAGTCGAAGATTCGGCTGATTCTCTTAGCTTTTCAGAGTGACCAGTCACATCATTTGTTAACAATGAAAGTATTGCTTCTTCCTTCTCACTAAATAGCTCTTCTGTTTCTTTTTCTCCCCTTCCCCATCTCTTTTTGCTTGGCCAGAAATTTTAGAGCCATGATAAATAATAAAAGTGATAATGTTATCCTTCTTTAATCCCCAATGTTCTGGGGAACAACTATTTTGCCTTATTTGTAGGATCTCATTCTAACTGAGCTATAGTTATTTTCTTTTAGAAGAGTTTAGAGGAAATCTTATTTTAAACAAATTTAAAATAAATCTGGTATTATCACTCAGTGTAATTTTAGATTTTTAGGAAAATAATAAATTTAAGGATGATCCAGTTTTTATTATGAAGTTTTTTAGTTTTCATACAATTGTTTATGTTTACATGTAATCTAAATAAAGTAAGCATTGTTATTTGGTGCAGTCAGAAAATAGGATATTTCAGTTGAAAACTGCTTAGCTCTTTCAAAAGTATAATGTAATTATACTATACAGTCACACTCAGAATAATTTAAGTTATTTTCTTTTTAACTCAAAAGTCACTTCAGAATCTTAGTGTAACTCTTGATTCCTAGACATCATTTTTATTTTAAAATATAGAAGGACTAGGTAATAGAGTTCTAATTATTTGAACACTGAATAACAAAAAATGCTGTGATTGCTCTGGCCAAGTGGCTAAGCTGGTTGGAGTGTCATCCTGGACACCCAAGGGCTATGGGTTCAATCCCTAGTCAGGACACATACTGAGGTTGCAGGTTCGATCCCTGGTCAAAGTGTCTACCGGAGGATGTTTCTCTCTCAGTGCTGTTTCTTTCTCCCCCTTCCTCTTTCTCTCTAAAATAAAATTAAAAAATGCTGATTATTTAAAGTAGAGCCTACTATGTTCTACTTTTGGCATATTTAACATTACATATTTTATCTAATTTAAAAGTATTGTTGAATTATTGTATATTCAAGAATACTGAGTAAAAGACTCAGGCATCTATATAACTCAATAAATATTTGTTTTGTAAAGTGTCTAAGAGAAAAAAAATATCTATGTGGGCCTTTGTATTACCTAGACACACAAAAGAAGTTGTTAACACTTAACATTTTACCCAATTAAGGCTCAAATCTGATCAAAGAGTAATTAGATTACTATGTATATTGCTGGGAATAATTTCTCATTTATAAAACAAGTCCAAAAATAAATATAAATGTGATTTTCTGTATGTTTCAATTTACAGCACAAAAAAGGATTTTATAAGGACTCCAATTGTAGAAAAGCAGATGTACTTCCCTCTTCAGAATTATCCAGTGAACAACATGGTAACAGGTAATTTAAAATAAAATTTAGAGTAAACTCAAGTAGGGAAGAAACAAGGGAAGATTTTTTACAATAAAGCGTTATTATACTAGCTTAGCAATAGAACCCCCTCTGTTATACATGCTAACAGAGGAGATTTGCACATTAAATACATTAATTTGCAGAACTGACCGAAAGAAAGCCCCATATTTTCTGTGTTAAAGTGCTAGTCTATAGGTAAGGTGAAGACATGTCTCAGTTTACATAGACATTCTTGTTTATGCCTATTGTCCTAGTATTAGTGTTTACTCTCAAGCGTCCCAGTTTGGAAGAAAAATTGTATAGACAACCCTCATCACAGTTTCCTCTGAGAACCTGATGAAACATAGGTCCCTTTTTCTAGTATACACACACACACACACACTTACCAACTTTACATATAATTTAAAGAGGCTCGTATATGCCTAGATGGTCATTCATGGATCACTCAGGTTTCTACAGACTCCATATTTGGGTTTCCTAGTTCCAGGTAGAAAAGACAGCTAACTGAAGCTTACATCAAGGAAACGGAACCAGAGAAGCAGTTGAATAATGGCCACTGCAATTTGGATAGTGCTAAATGAGGTGGATATTTGGATAATTGATCTGAGTAGTATTCAGTGGGCCATTGGTAATTTTAAAAATTGAGGTTTTAAAAAAATGTTTTCAAAACAGCAATTTTAAAAGTATGGGTTTTTGAAATTTTACTTAAAACATTTATATATTTATTTTTCCCTTTATTTAGCAGTGTCAAAACTATCTCCACAATAATCTTCAGAACTGATACAGTAAACCATTTCTCATCCATAAATGTTCTAACCTTCTTATACTTACAGGAATATTTTTTATTACTGTAATTGTTATTACTATAGTCATTATTTTAAAAATTTTTATCACACACATCTTTAGAAACTTCATACAGTATATATATGCAATTAACTAGACATTAATATTTTCTGCACTATTTTATTTTACACAGGAAATATCCATTAGGCAAATACCATGAACCATAAGGTAATAGGTGATATCACTAATGTAGTAATAGTGCTTCCAGGTATTTTCTGAGGTAAATGACTATGATTAAAATATCTTTAAAAATAGTACTAACCAATTTTATATGATTGAATTCATGGTTAATTTATTAACTGTGAATTTATTATCTATTATTAGAAACAACCAAACTATATTCATAGATAACCTGTTGATGGTGGTGGTGTTCTAAATTCAATAGTTCACCCTGGCTGGTGTGGCTCAGTGGATGGAGTGCTGACTTGCATACCAAAAGGTTACCAGTTTGATTCCCAGTCAGAGCATATGCTTGGATTGCAAGCAAGGTCACCAGTTTGGGGCATGCAAGAGGCAACTTATCGATGTGTGCAGGGTTTCTCTCCTTTTCTTTCTCCCTCCCACCTCCCTCTAAAAATAAATAATTTAATAAATAAATGGAAAATACTAAATTTAATTGTTCTTTTCATACAGGATTGACTTTTAAATTAAGTTTCACTTTCAATATAAACCAAAAATACTTATGTTACATATTAAATGTAATCATTGAACCCTGGTTACTGTGGCTCAGTGGATTAGTGCCAGCCTGCAAACCAAAAGGTTGCTAGTTGCATTCCCAGTCCAGGCACATACCTGGGTTATGGGCCAGGTCTCCTGTAGGGGGCGCGTGAGAGACAACATACATTAATGTGTCTTTCCTCTCTTTCTCCCTTCCCTTCTCCTCTCTCTCAAATAAAGTAAAAATTTTAAAAACAATAAATATTATCATTCAGATAAAAAAGTTACTATGAAGTTATATTGCTTAAAATGATTGAGTCCTTAAGTAAGTTCTCCCTATTCTAGGTGTTCTTTCTGCTACTCATATCTATTTCAAATTATTTATGACATCAAAATTACTCATACCAATAACCTTTGTTGACTAAGCAATAATATCAATTTTCCCATTAATTTTTTAATTAAAAGAATATTATCTCAGGCACTCTCCCTCTTGGGAGCACACCCATGCCTTTCCCTGCCCCCTCTTCTTCCTCCACAGGCATGCATCTCCTAAACTCTAAGGGTGCCCCCCGAGACTTGCAACAAGGAGAGCGATGGGTGGTGGCAGCTTGTCCTGAACCTGTCTCTGAGATCTTGTTTTCTCTGACTTTCTACAGAGCCAAAGCAGCCTAGCCCATGCTCTCCCGTTGCTTTTTCTTTCCTAAGCCTTTTCTAAGCCTTTCCCCACCTTTAATAAATGTACTCTCAAAATTTAAAAAATATATATTATCTCAATGTTAGTGAAACCAGAAAAGACACTAGCATTTGGGCTGCCTGTCACTACCAAACCCAATAAGCAATGACAGTGTTTGAATATGGGCGCTTTATTCAGATGGCTGACAATCTGAGAAGATGGGTTCATACCCTAACAGACCATCTTCCTTTTTCTTTCCAGGCCAAGGTTTTTATAGTAGGGAATAAACAAGGAGGGTCAGGTAAAAGAAACTGCAACATTCCTGTCCTGGGGGGTTAGCAGTTCCCAGGGGCAGGTGGTTGTTTGCCCCTCCCTGAAACACAATCGCCTGCATACCTCCACTTGTCCCCAGGTGGTAATCTGTAGCAGTGCCCCAGGAGGTCTGCTGTTTTCCCAGGAGCCAGGATGGGCCTTATCTGTAGTTTCTGAAACAAAAGCTTTAACATTTACATTACTTGCTAAGCTTATAACTATTTACCTTAAACTAAAATTTTCCAACTCTTAAGTGCCCTATCATTAGCAGTGTGGGAAAATGTTTCTTGCTCTACTAGGAAAGATGAAGCATTTGTGCCATTAGTAGTTAGTTGTATAGTTTTAGGTGATTATACTCTAAGCCAAATGCACACTTTCCATTTTTTTGGTCTAGGTACTTTAATGTTCCATCCTAACCTTGACATCATTACACTCTTAAAAGTCAAAATGGTAATTAAGTACCTATATTTTAAAAGGAATTAGAAGGTTGGGGGGAGCAGGTAAGGGGTTAAGAAGAGTGTTCCTTGACAATTATCAAGTGTCATGAAGAATTTTCTCACTGGTATTATTCCTTCTTTTATAGGAAACTTAAGAAATCTTAGCTCTAAAAAACCAAATACACTGAAAATCAGATAGTATGATGTAATTTCAAATACATACTTTTTTTTTAAATTTTGTAGACTATATATCTATTGATGCCATGAAGAAATTCCTTGGGGAGCTACATGACTTTATTCCTGGAAGTTCAGGATATTTGGCGTACCATGTTCAAAATGAAATTAATTTTTCTTCTATAAAAAATAAGTTGAAGAGGAAATGTTAAGTTAAATTATCCTTATATTTGGGCATTTATTTTTTATAAAATATTATCAAAGATGTGCATAATTTTTAATTCTCCCGTTGGGACACAGTTGTGGGAAAATGGGATGATTTCTTGTTCTTCCTCAAAAATATGTCTTTAGGAAATTCAGAATCATTTTGTCTCTGTATTTTGACATTTGGGCTGGACTTTTTCCCCCAGCTTGTAACACATGTCCACAAATTCTGAGTTGTTACAGAGTAATTGTTACAGAGTAATTGTCATTGAAACATGGGATAAGAAGTCTCAAACTCTGTCTCTCTCTGTCTCTCTCTCACCCACTTTTGGCTTTAACATTCTATTGTATATATTTCTCCTAGGTTCAATGATGTGAATGTAAAATGTATGATAATGTATAATTCTGGTTATATTATTTTGATTAAAACTTAGAATGCTATAGTTGAATTCTGAATTACTGTTTCTGACTTGAAAATATGAAATAAAATATTTTAATAACTCAGACTTCATGTGTGGACAATTTCTGATAATATAGCAGAGGTGATTTATTGGGAACCACCCTCCCTGGTTTCAGAAGATGTTATCCCCCATGGCTAAGGCTGAGTAAAGGACCTTGGGACCATAAGCCACTAAGGAGACAAAGCTTATCTCCCTGGCAGGGGCCTGCCTCTGCCCCTTTGATTTCACCTGTTTGGCCCCAGATGGATGCCTGGTCATCCAATGACGGGTAAGATTCCTCAAGGGAGAGACAACCTAAGACAGGAATGGTTGTGAAGAGGCCCTCAGTGAAGGACTTGGGGGCTATAGAAAAAGGGGGTAGTAGACCCTCACCCCTCAGCTTTGACATAGCCTAAATCCTCATTCTGTCTACAAGAAGTCTCCTAATCTCTTGGCTGCCTTACTTCCCCTGCCTGACTTAAGCCCAAAACAATGCTGGAGGTGGGCCGTGTGCTGGAAAGGGCAGATTCCCTGTGGTGATCAGGCCTAAGAAAGAATGCATAAAATCCTGTGAAACCTGCTTTGCTAAGAATGTCCTCAATTTTCTGATTAGGGTCCAAGCATAGAATGAGTTCATGTCCTCAAAGTTTCCTGGCCCCTTAGCTATCTGACTCGAAATAAGCCCTCATAGTTCTTTGAATGTTATTTACTGTTTGATCATTACTGCCTGACAATGATTGATGAACTTTACCTGTATTCCTATGCAAATTAAACCCAATAAAAGCCCATTGAGGAACAGGCTCAAGTCCCTTCTTGAGAGATCGGCCACCTTTCCTCCCCAAGCAGATCTTGTCTAGGCAGACTTATTCTCATCTGTGGAGGACGGAGCCCCCCCCCCCAGTGATTTAATGCAAAAAGTGTTATGTCATCTGAAATGAACCCTCATTGTGTCTTAGAATCATAGTACTAGAAAGGATCTGAGAGAAAATAGAGTCAGAGAATGTGAAGTCTAACCCATTTATTTATTTATTTTTAATCCTCACCTTAGGAATTGTTTTTACTGATGAGAGGGAGTGAGAGGGGTGGGAGAGAGAAAGAGAGACAGAGAGATACAGAGAGAGAGAAATATGGATGGGTTGCCTCCTGTATTTGCCCCAAATAGGAATTGAACCTGCAACATTTTGGTGTATGGGACGATGCTCCAACCAACTGAGCCACCCAGCCAGGGCCCATTTATTATTTTTAATGAGGAAGCAAGGACCTTGAATGGGTGTCTTGCCTACATGACTGATTGGGGGACTGGACTGGAACACAATTCTCTTGTTTTTCCAGGCCAGTGCTTTCTTACTCTCCCACATGGTATTTGCTCTAGCCTGTGTCAAACATACTATGCCCTGAGGTGTAGTGATTTCGGGAAGGCAACTTCTTTATTCATATGGTCATGCTTTATAGAATCTGGTGGATTTATTACATTTTGGAGATTTTAAATGACATTATTTGTGATGCTATTATCTTCTTAAAACTACTCTCTCCTAGGAAGTACATACCAGCCATAGCATTTTCTAAAGAAAATGTCCCTTTTTTAGTATTTGGGTTATATGAATGTTGTGGGCTCTGGCTTTTTTTTTCATGAATCAAATTTCATAATACAAAAGTTTAACAATAACCTCGCTATCGGCATTTGAAAGTTCTATTTTTCCCGTATAGTAACTTTTCTGTGTTTATACTCATGATTTTGATTTAACTCTTCTGAATTTAAAAACTTAAAAAAACCCTAAATAATAATCTTTTCCTGAAACATAATACATATTGTCTTTTTTGAATACTTTTTCTTAGTCACATCCAGTTGGTTATGTTTCTTATATAGAAACCAAGCCTGTCTGTGGATCTTTAATTATTAAAAGGATTAAGTAAATTTATAACAAGCCGTGTACATCGGGAGTGTTCAAGTATTTTTGACCTCTGTAGTATTCATGTATTTAAATAGTAAATCAAAAACTATAGCAAAATATTTCCTGACTGGTGTGGCTCAGTGGATTGTGCACTGGCCTGCAAACCAAAGGGTCGCTGGCTCAATTCCCATTCAGAACATATTCCTAGGTTGCACGCCAGGTCCCCATTTGGGGGTACAGGAGAGGCAACCACATATTGACGTTTTCTTCCCTCTCTTCTGTCCCTCCCTTCCCCTCTGTCTAAAATAAATAAACAAAATCTTTTAAAAAACTACAGCAAAACAAAGGTGATTCCCAAAGCGATTGTATCACTAGGTGTATATACAAAAGGTCAGAAGCAATATATATATATCCTTGAAATACTACCAGAAGCAATAAAAATCAATTGATAAGCCTTTCAGGTATTCAAAGCATGTGAATAAAATAGTTAAAGATAAACTGTTAAAATTTTATTGTCTTAACAGGAAGTAAAAAGCAGTATGATATTACCTACTACTGACTTCAACTGTTTATTTGCCACAGCATATCTGATGGATATTGCCCCTTGCTCCCATCTTTTAAAAATGCTCGCCCCTTGTCCTGTCTGGCGTGGCTCAATTGATTGGAGCATCATCTCATAACCCAGCAGGTTGCTGGTTCAATCTCTGGTCAGGGCACATACCTAGGTTGTGGGTTCAGTCTTAGGGTATGTATGAGAGGCAATCAATTGATGTTTCTATCACATCTCTCTCTCTCTATCTCTTTTTTTCTCTCTCTCTCTTTTCCACTTCCTCCTCCTCTTTTTCCCCTTCCTCTCTCTCTAAAAGCAATGAAAAAATGTCCTCAGGTGAGGATAAAAAATTAAAAATAAAAATGCTCCCCCCCCATCTGGGTATTTCTCTACCCTTTTGTGAACATGTCTCCTCTGATGCTTTTCACTATTAGACATAGTCATTCCTATGAATGACTATGTACTGTTTAATTTAGTGTGTAGCTCTTAGTTATTAGTTCATTTTATCCTTTTTAAAAAATAAATTGATTGGTATGACATTGATTAATAAGATTATATAATTCTCAAGTGTACAATTTTATCTTCTTATTTCTTTCATCCTTCGTGACCAGATTATTTTTTCTTTCTAGCTTTTAGTAGGGCTTTGTGTCATTAGATAAGCTATGGGTCATTGGCAGTCTGCTAATTATTTCTGAATGTCTATTTCCCTTTCTGCCATGATGATAGAACTCCTAATTTCTATCTGGGCACGTATACCTGGAATAAAGACCATATTCTCAGGGTCACTTAAAATTAAGTATGACTGTCTCACAATGTTTTGGTCAATGATGCACAGTGGAAATGGCATCTAGGAACCTTTCATAAAGACATCTGTCTTTCTTAAAGACAACCTTTCTGACAGGTACCCTTTGCCTCCCTTTCCTTTCACTCCCATTTTTTCTGCTTCTTCTTTCATCTTGTGGTTTGGAATGAGAATTTGATAGCTATCATTTGAACCATAAGAGCATACCCTAGGGTTGGCAAAGCAGGAAACCAAAAAAAATCCTTAGGTCCTGATGGCATTGTGGAAATAGTTGCCATCTCAGTCCTGGATCACCTACCCCTAGACTTTTATGTGACAGAAATAAACTTTTTTGTTTAAGGCACTATATTTTGTGTCTCTTACTTCCAAACTAATCATAAGTGAGGCTTTGAGGCTGCATTCACTCTGTGAGAGAGAATTGCATGGAAGATACTAGTTCTTTATATCTATAAAGTATTTCCCTTTTTGTCTGTAAAGTATTGACTGCAAATAACCTTTACTAATAATGAATGGCATCTTAAATCATATTGCATTGATTTCATGAAATTGCCATTTTTTTCTTCTTGACAGCTTTAGTAAGATATAACCACATACCATACAATTTATCCATTTAATGGGTGTGGTCCAGTGATTTTTAGTGTAATGACAGGGTTGTGCAACCATCATCACAATCTGATTTAGAATATTTTTATTACCCTAAAAACATACCCTTTGTGCATTAGCAGTCTTTGCCCATGTCCCTCTCCCACGTCCACACCCCCAGCCCTAGGCAGCCTCTGATCTCTTTTCTGTGTCTATAGGTTGGCCCATTCTGGACATTATATATGAATGGAATCATATAAAATATGCTCTTTGTGACAGTCTATTTTACTTAGCTTAATATATTCAGAGTTTATACATGTTATAGATTGTTTTAGTATTTCATTCCTTTTTGTCGCTAAGTACAATGGTATTCTACTGTATGATATGTCACATTCAAACATTTTTTTAAATTAAATTTATTGGAGTAACATTCTTTAGTAAGATTATATATGTTTAAGTGTGTAACTTTATATTACATCATCTATATACACATTTTATTTCTTCATCAACTGATGGGCACTCGGGTTGTTTTAACTTTTTGGCTATTATGAATACTGATGCTGCTCTGATCATTATGTGTACAATTTGTGTAGATGTATATTTTGATTTGTCTTGGATCTATATCTGAGAGTGAAATTGCTGAATCACATGGTAACTATGTTTTAATATTTTGAGGAACTGCCAAGTTGTTTTCAGAAGTAACTGCATCATTTTGCAAATCTATCAGTCATATATGAGTTTC